ATTTTGACCAGAATCTTTAGTTTTTCTCACTTGGCGAACAGATCTAGCTCCGATGCAATCTTTGATTATAGGGTGCTGTTAAGCTGTTGGAAACAGATAACTGACACAAGTAGCAAGAAAAAAATTTTAAGATAATGTGGGACTGATATTTTTTCCTCTAATAGTATACAGTATTACGGTGTAATAATTTCTTTTAACACCAGTATGTATCAGGTAGTTTGTTTAAAAGTGATTTGAATCCAAGCCACATATCGTAACTCCATTTAGTCAGTATCTGACAAAAAAAGGAAGTTTAAGAAAGAGACCAAGGGTTTTCGGAGTTAGAAATACCACTGGGAAAAAAATCTAATCTGTTATCTATTTACGATAAATTTTATTTTATTTATTTTTATTTTAAAAAAACTCATAGAATACCACTCTCCAGTGATGTGAGCTTCCTGTATAAAGACTGTAAAAAAAAGTGCGTTTAACCTCATAAGTTGTCTCGATGAGGTTTCTTAGTTATGGTCACAAAAAAAATCTGTATTATTTTAGATTGTGTAGTTGTAACAGTTAATTTTTGAGTACTTAAAAAAAATAGTGAATGTTTCTTGAGTAACATTGTGTAAGTCGTTAGGTTTTAGTGTAAAAAAAATAGAGCTATCATGTAGAAATACTGTCAATAAATCGTTATTATTTTTTATCAAAAAAAATATTAACCACATTTGACTGGCTGCTCGATATGAGTGGCGTATGACGTATGTAAAAAAAAACTGAAAGATCGAAAGAAGATACTTATTTGTTTTTCAAAGCAGGGCACTAAAGGTTACAGGACGGGTAAGTAGCGTCTTTTAAAACAACTGATTCAGTTCGGATCCATAAAAAAATTACATTACAAAAGCTAAAATCAAATCGATTTTCTTTCCTTCCATTGAGGGAAAAAAAAGGAGAGGTGAATATTTATTACCCCACTTTTGAGGCATTAGTTAATGTACAAAAAAAACGGTTTTCATGATTCGTCTTAATTTTTTATACCGATAATGGATTTGAACATGCAAAACTGAAAGGATTTACTTCTGTTAAGCGTCCGGTCTCAGTATTCGTTGTTTGCAAAAAAAACTGGATTTTTATGACAAAATTATAGTCAAGACTTGTTACAGTACGATTAGAGCTTCTGTCTTAAAACGGTAAGCTATATGTGCGCGATGACTTACTCTTCATGAGTTTTAAAAAAACCAGTTAGTGCAATTTGCATGAAGACAAAGTTGATAAACAAGAAAAACGGTAAAAAAAGATCAGTGTCGTACTCCTAAAGAGAACATTGCAATCTACGGTTAATCCCTTTAAAGTAAAAATCTAGATAATACGGAACTCAAATTATTGTAATAAACACGTAATCTCAAGAGTGGATCTCGTTTAGCTTCATGTAAGTGATGATCGACAAATGAACCTCTTTTAGGAAAAAAAGGGTGAGGGGATAACGAATCTGGACTACTTTTACGAATAGAAAAGCTTGGGAAAAAAAGGAATTTTCCTTAAAAATGTACAACATCGGTCATCTATTTGAGTTTATTCTCCGGCATATTAAAAGTAGTGCATCGAGCGATTAGCCCATTACCAAGGAAACTAGCTATGATGATAACAATGCACAAGATTATTAACGGGAAGGTGTGACCTTCAAG